ACTGTACTATACAAGTAAAACATAACTTGAATCTACAAATAGAACTATACACTTACTTCACCCATATGTACAATAAACACCAAATAATATAACTGTCTGTTTAAAATACAACACATTGAAAATAACTACAGTTTAGAAATTTGTTGAGTTTCACAATATGGGAAGCCAAATCAAATGTGGGCATAAATATTTTCTTGGAGAAGGGAAGAGAGACATGATACAAAGTTTTCATGCCAGAGGTGGACATAGGTTTAGAGAAGGTGACATCCACAAGAGACACACAGAATGGAAAACATGGTGCCAGCACATTAGAGCAAAACTCATGGAAATAAGAGAAATAAAGCTTTAACAGTTGTCTTATATATACTTTTAGGAAAATTTTAATCAAATATTTAAAAAATTAAAACATACTTTCCTCATTGTAAGCATATCCTCAGTCAAAACTTTGAGCATGAATGAGGAGTTAGTCTTGATATTTGGTTTGTGAATTAGATTAATCTGAAAGCCATCTGTTTTAGATTATGCCAAACATTAAATACTTAGAAATCACCTATATGACCGAATGGTTTAACTTTATATTAAAAATCAGATATGAAGAAATCTCCTCAGGCTTTAGAAAATTTTAGTGCATATTTGATGTCAATTTGACAATGGTGAAAAAATTAGATGGCTAGTCTTACTATGAAACATATTTCCATTACATAATATGCAGATTAAATCTTAATCATTTAAACAACTTCCTGAGAGGTGAAAACTGCAGACTCTCCAAGATATCAAACTGAGAACTGATTTCCCCAGATTGAATTTTGGTATTGATATTGATAACCAAAATGTATTAGCTAATATAGTTTATTATATGTTGTGCAGAAACTACTGCAGTTTACACGCATGCACCAAGACTTAAGCATCTATCCCACTATCACTGAACACATGGAAGGAAAAGTGTGTAGTCTAGAAGGGAAAGTAATTAAATGTCAGCATGAACTTATATCATGCATGTGTAAGCCTTCAATTAATAGTAAATTGTTTAAAAATTGTGATGCTCCATTGCTGTTTGATTTGACTTTGGTTAAACAAAAATCACTTATTTTAATAGGGACATTATGCATGTTATTTTACAATGTCCTTAAGTTAATTTGAAACATTACTCTTTCTAGTAATGTATCAAATTCTTTAAAAACAAGGAACAACTGATAAAATTTTTACACAAAAATATAGTTGAATTAACTTGAGAAAAATTTATGGTTCAAATTATATCTCAAATGCCCCATTAATTAGTTTACTACAATAGTGGGCTAATAATGATACATGTCCTTTGAGTATATTAATCTCCTTACCAACATGCATCTATCTAGTTTCCCATGTCATCAAACTATGTTAACTATGTTGGCACATAGCATTTCAAAATTACTCTGGATTTCATACTCTTTTAAACTTTCCCTCTATCATGCAAACCAAAGGAAGCTAATAATATTTAACTGGGAAGTTATATTTAATATAAAGAAAAAAAAGCTTGACGTTTGAATCTGATTCAAACAGACTATTTCCCAATGAGATATTTTTGACATTATGTTATGTGATGAGTTAAAGCAAGTAAAAGTGGTTTGCAACTTTAGGACCCTACATAACTTACTGTGTATCTATAGGAATTAAGTTACAGCTACTGCTATAGTAGTAAAATTCTCAGCAGAATAAAAAATAGAAAAAATACTGATGACACTGCTTTAAACTGATCATTTAAAATCCACAGTATTAGAATAGAGAATGGCACATGTTGGGGTGAAAACTTGCCTTTTTGGAAATGCCAATGTTTGAAATAGGTTTCTGCAAGAATCATGTTGAGCAAGATTTTTAAATTAGCATGCCTTGTTTGATTGATTTACAGCAAAATAATTTCAAACAATATATGCACCATAGTTATAAGATTTAAATTAGCTAAATGTAGAAAGCATTAACATGGAGGTGAATAAAAGGTGCATTTTCATAAACATGATTTACTTTCAGCTGGTTACACAGTGTTACACATTGTAATATTAGCATACTAGGTGGCTGAGGCAGGAGGATCATAAATTTGAGCTTAACCCCAGGCAACATAGAGACTTAGTGAGAACCTGTCTCAAAATAATAAAATAAGGACTGGGGATGTAGCTCAGTGCTAAGGCCTTGGGTTCAATCCCCAGTACCACAAAAAATAAAATAATTTATTTTCATTCATTAATGATCAGCTAAGGCTGATTTGTACAATTTTGCACAATTTATACAATTTTCCTTTGTGAAAAGCAGAAAATTATGGAGTGTTAAGTTCAGAAAGACACAATTCCAAATTAGCTAGTTTACTGATAACTCGATTTCTCTGGGTTTCCAAGTTCTGGATCAAAGTAGTGTTTCATGTGTAAAATATAAAGCTAATTTTAGGATTTTCTAAAATGTCATATTTGCATGCTACTAAAACATTTGCTTAAAAAAAATCTAAAGTCCAGGCAAATTTGAGGCAAGGATTAAAATATTTTCCTTTAAAACTTGTTTTGAGTTATGTGCCACCAGTCTGTAGGTAAAACTCTACAACATGCTTAATTTATGAATAAGTTCTGCATGTTAATTATTGCATTTTGGTGTATTTTAAAATAACTTTTAATGTCCTAAATGGTTCTCTGGTTGTAGGTTTATGAAACAAAGCACACAGCAGCAGTTCAAATATTAACAGTTTATACAGTAACACATTGCTGCATTGTCAAACTTGTATTTCTAAGCATTTAATTTAGCATATTTTTAGTATAAATTTTAAATGCCTTCCAATACCTGGACAATACTGTAATACGTTATTGTGGCTTTCTGACTTCCACTTGGATAATGGCAAAATATTTTTGTAAAGTAACTGAAACACAGATTTGCAGTGGTAAAATGAGCAAGTCTTTTTCAGCTGTATCAAGTTCATCTGAAAACTACTTTTACTATATTTTTTAAATTTGGAAGATTCATTTAAGTACAACAATAAGAGTTTTTGTCTTTAATGAGTTTGTTCTGTTTTAACCATTATAATACTTTATTTTGGAAAATTCCATTACTATCTAGTTTTTCTCTTAACTACAAAGTTATAAGAAAATTATCTTCAACACCTCATTTGTTTAGATGTTAGGTTCCATACATTTTACCTGTTTTTCTCCTGAACTACTTTCAACCTCTCTTGTTGAAATACTAAATACATGATCATTAGTAATAGTTAATACTCTTTCTATCAAAGGCCACTCTCTCACAGGAGATAATCACTTCAAACTTCCTGAGTCTAAAGCCCTAGTTCTTTTCACTCTCTAATAAGGGTTAGAAACAGTTTCTGCCAAGAAGCCTTTTCTGACTGAAGTGCAGCCCTGGGTATGGTTCAGGTGTTGAGAGTTTCTGTAACTTTTCTCTCATTGATTTATACATCTAACCATGTGCTGTTAATCTAAATCAAGATTAGATTATTATTTCAAACTGATTAGACTAAGAGCAATATACTTGAATATGTATTAATGTTACTGCTTAGCAACTTTGCAACTTTGATTGTTAAACTGCCACAACATTGAAAATTTAGCACCAGCTGCTCTTCCCAGGTGAAAAACCAGGCCCATTCCCATTCTAATTTGTCATTAAACAGTCCCCAAATCTCTAACGAGAGTCAATGGCACAAAGAATCTAATATTCATTCATATCTTGTCCCACATTACACAGTGAAAGGCTATTTCTCAGTATAAAAGTTTTCATCTCAATCATGTTTGTGTTTTACTTAATACAAATCTTAAGAACAGCCCTCATAGATTTTAAGAATTTCCCCTTCAACTTGACTTCAACAAAAAGCAAAGTCGCAGCAGTTTGTAGGCTGTGAAATACTATCAATGTATATACACTTCTAACTATAATGAAAAGTTAGTTCCATTGAAATTTGGCATTCATGAAACTAGTTTAAAATATTAACAAAATTGAAACCATTTTCTGTTAATCCTAAATCAAAAGATTTGACTTAAAAATTCAAATATCAGAAAACATCAAGGAGTCGGTTGAGACACTTGATGGTGGTGGTGGTGGGGGGGGAACACTGTAAACCTTAAAACTGCAAATTTTAAAGAAAGCCAAGAATCCTAGATTTTCAAAAAACATCCTGTTTCCATAATTCCATGCTGTGAGTATTCATTCCTGGCTCCTCCCTGAGAAAAATCTATCTACACCAATGATTAAAAAATAAAATCAATCTCAAAACACCAACGAGGATATTAACCTTCTTGGCCTAACCAGAAATCTCTGGTCACAATGATACAAGACTTGCTAAGATTTCCACAGGGAAGAAAAGGCTAAGAAAACGAGCAAGAGCGTGTTGTATGTCGTGACTGAAAGGCAGGACTGTCACGGGGGACACTTATCTTCTTGGTTCTCTCCTGGGAAAAGACTAAGCCTGACAAAGGCTTCCAATGCCTCGGTTCTCTTAACTCTCCCAAAACTCTCTTGTGAACAGCTCTTCCCGTCTTTAACACCTCTCCCGACACCAGCAAAGCCCGCTGCGGAGTGAAAACTCAGCGACCTGTCCTGTCCAGGGCCCAGAGTACTGACAAATGGAAAGCCACAGGGGATTCGCCACATAAAGATTAGGGACATTTTAGGAGCAGCAGGGGCCGAACTTGTAAGAGAAACCGGAGAGTTCAGTCCTAACACCCCACGAACAACTCCAGCTGTGATTGCTAAGTCTTGCCCTAGCCTCTTTTCCACAAAACTGACCTTGTCCTACTTTTCCATGCAAGCACCAGACACACTTGCCCACATAAGTTTCCAAACCAAAGCCTCTCACACTAGCATCCACAGGGACCATCAAATTCCCAGTGAAACCTGACCACTCAGTAAAGCCTCCCGGAAGAAGAAAAGATCAAAAGAGACCGGCTCTGCGGGGTCTTCCCGAGGTGACCCTAGAGCGAAAGTATTTATTTTCACGCTGCAACTGCTGATTGCTTTACAGAGACACATCATGCTGTAGCTCTGCGTGGAGCTGAGGACAAAAGAATTTTATTAATGTTAAAGTTATTATAATTACGCTTTAACAAAGCTATTAAATAACCTGTACAAAGCTTGAACCGGTCCTAGAGAAAACCCGAGCACTACTTCAAAGGTCCCAAGGTCCCTCCGCTTTCGTTCAGCAGCATTTCCTATATACAAGGCCAGCTCAAGGTGGTGACCAACCTTGGTTGGTCTCAGTGGTTGGAGTTTGGAGCCAGCCTGGCATAACTCAGACCTCCCAACCAACGCAGCCTCCCCTGCCCCTCCCTCTGTCCTAGGGCCAGGAGGCTGGGAGCCTGGCTCCGCTCTAGGAGGAGGGCAGCGGGAGGTCCCTCTGCTGAGGCTCCGAGTGACAGCTGCCCCCAGGCCCCAGGGACGTCCTGTCCCTTCCTGTAGGTGCTGGGAAGGGAGTCTGAGGCAAGCGTGGCCCGAGGTGGGCTCACAGGTCCCGCGGATTCTCTCGCTTAACCCCGGCCTCCGCGACTTTGAGCTTCTTATTTTGGTGCGTCTTGACGTGCTTGGCCAGGTGGTCGCTGCGCATGAAGCGCTTGCCGCACTCGGGGCAGGCGAAGCGCTTCTCGCCGGTGTGAGTCCGCAGGTGCCGCTGCAGCTCGTCCGAGCGCGTGAAGCTCTTGCCGCAGAAGAGCCAGTTGCACACGAAGGGCCGCTCGCCCGTGTGCCAGCGCAGGTGCGCCTTCAGGTGAGACGTCTTGCCGTACACCTTTCCGCAGCCCGGCACGTGGCACACGTGTTGCTTCTTTTTGCCTGGCTCCGCCTCGGGGGCACCGCCCGCCGCCTGGCAGTTGGGACAGCGGCAGCGGCGGCACCTCCTGGCCGTGGCCGCCAGGGGAGCCTTGGTCTGCAGCAGCGCGGCGATCTGGCTCTGGTACTGCGCGAAGTCCGACGGGCCAAGCACCAGGCCCCGCTGCAAGGCTGCAGCTGCCGCGGCGGCCGCAGCCGCTGAAGTGGGAAAGCGGGGTGCGTGGGGGGCCCCGGCACAGGCGCTGGGGAGGCCGCCCCCAGGCACCCCGGAGGCCCCCGGGCCGGCGCCCGACTGCGGGATGCTCCACCACGGGAGGTCGTCGGGGGCCGGGGCGGGCGACAGCTGGCGGCAGGCTGGCGGCGGCGGAGGCGCGGGCAGTAGGTTGGAGTAGCCAGGTGGCAGCGCGGCCTGCGCGGCGTAGGGCACATAGGCGGGCGCGCAGGCCGTGGGCAGCGTCGTCATGCTCGCGGGCAGCATCTTGACCGGCGAGAACTCATAGGGGTACGAGGGGTCGGCGGGGGGCGTGAGCGGGAGCTCGTGCGCAGTCCCGAAGGACGGCTGCAGGTGCGTCTTCTGCGGCGTCAGCCCCAGGCTGGGGTGCGGGGGAGGCAGCGCGCCCGGCGAGTGCGCTGGCATGTCGGCAGTCCACGGGTGGAAGAGCCTGGAGGGCGAGCCCAGTGCCGGGTCGTAAGGCACCTGCAGGAAGTCCGGAGCCGCCGCCGCCGCCCCCGGCTGGCCGATGCGGCTACAGGTGGCGGCCAGCAGCGCCAGGGGCGAGTGCTTGCCCAGGTCGGGGGAGGCGCTGGGGGTGCGGTCCTGCATGGGCGGCGAGGGAGGGCGGAGAAGAGACAAAAGGTTAGCGCTCCAAGCGCGGACTCTGGGCTGGCCAGCCACCAACACGCCCGCCCTTATACCTCGGCCCCTCCTCCACCCGGCCGGCCCTCCCCCGCGCCCCGCTCTCACCCACCGGCCCGGGAAACTTAGGGTGCCTGTGCCACCTGCAGGCGGGGTGCCCGAGCGCTTGCGGCACAACTACTTGGTGTGAAGGGACGCCATCCAGCCTTTAAGGAAGGCGCGAAGGGGAGGCAGAGGCATCCGACGGGCCGCTCCTGGCCGCGGTCTGCAAAGGGCTGCAAACGCCCACAGCCCGGCTGCCCCAGCGCCGGCCCTCGCAGCCCTTAAACTCTCTTCCTGGCTCCCCGGCGCTCCTCCGCCCGCCCGAGGCTGGCATCAGTAGGAGGGCCCAGCGGGATGAACTCGGGCCCAGTTGGCTGCCGCTCGCGCACCTCCAAAGCCCAGATCCTCGCGTCTCTCTCAGAGGCCACACTCTTGACACCAGGGTAGGTGTGAAGGTGGCGTGAGCAACCCGAGGTCTGACTCCAGCTGCACCCGCCGGCGGGCTCCCCTTTGAGATTCAGGCTGCACAGAGTGCGGTACCGGGAGTGATCCGACACGGCCCTCCCACCTGCCCCGCCCCTCCGGGCCCCGCCTGACCTGGAGGAAGGCCTGCAGCGAGTCGTTCCGGAGGACGGCCACCGCGGCCATGGCTACAGCGTGGCCACCGCTCGCCGCGGAGCGGGACGCGGCCACCCAGGCATGGACACCCGAAGGCGAGGACGCACGGCCGCCCAGCGTGGCTCCCCGGCGCCCGCTCCGCGCCGGAGCCCTCCCCGCCCGCGCCCCACTCGCCCGCCCGCTTGCTCGCTCACCCCGCGCGCGGTCTGAGCGCTTCAGGATCACCTCCAAGAATTTGATAAGGACTTTGCTGGGCCGCCAGCCAGTCAGAGGGAAGATTTATGGCTTTGAAGTTTGCCGCTGCCCAATCATCAAAGAATAGCGGCTCTTTCAGAAGCGAAAGCAAATCCTTTGAATCCACAAAGCTCCTATGGTGTGTTTGTTGGTCTGGATAAAAGAACTGATTATTAGGGGGGATGGGAAGGGAGGAGATAAAGGCGGGACAATTAATGAAGTAATCACTATGTGGGAAATGTATATACACAAATAATTGGATTTTCCTGATCAAAGGGGTCCTTGCCGCCTGGAGACGAGCGCTTGGGTTGCTCGAGACACTCGATCCCCTGCCCCCCACTTGCAATTAAAGATTTGCACCGAGGCAGCGCCCAAAGTGACAAAGTGTCTTTGTTATCTGTAGGAAAATCTGCTTTCAGGCGCGAGACTTGGAGACCGGGATGAGGGTAACTAGTAACTCTCCCCGGTATTTCTCCCTCACTCGCACGGCAAGCTCACCCGCCCGCGCGCACCGAGGACCTGAGCGAGCTCCCGGGGCGGGGCGTGGGAGCCGCCGCAACTGGTCGGCCGCGTGTCCCCCGCCCGCCGCCGCGGAGCCTCAGGGAAGGCTGTGACCCGGGGCGGGGCCAGGCGGCCGCCCAGGGCGGCAGTGGGTGGCGCGCACGCTCCAGAGCCGCCCGCCAGAGGAGCGATCCCCGCACTCTTGTGAAGTTCCTGTTGGTGACCTGGAAGTTTTCCTCAAGCCACAACTTTTACAGTGAACCGGGAAAAACAGCCGCATCGAGCTTAGTGCCAGAGCTGAGTTTGGCAGGACTCCAGAGCAACCCCTAACACACTCGAAGGGGAAAAAATTGTGCTGTTTTCCACAGGCAGGCAGCCCTGGGCTCGGAGGAGGGCCGGGCAGGTGTCCGACGGCTGGCCCCACCGAGGTCCCCAGGGATGCCGGTAATTTATCTCCCTAACCCCCGGCAAGTGAATGCGCGCTGTCAAGCTAGGCAGCTTCTTGGGAAAAGTAAGGCAAAGTCAGGAAGCCTTTTATTCTCCTGGTTCAGCAAGCCACAGATCATACAGGAAGACCCCTGGAGGAGAAGGAAAAGTCAATACAAACTCTTGTTCCTGTCATCTTTGAAAAGAAAATAAAGTTGTTCACCAAGAGAAGCGCTCTCCAGGGTACGCTCCGGTCCCCCCAACCTTGCAGGCCACCCTCGTCCTGTCCCGAGGGACAGGTGGCCGCAGGCCTCTCTCTGGCCCAGGGCGCTGGGTGCATCCTACCCGGGCGCTGCGCACAGCGGCATCGGCTTCCTTGGGCGAGCCGGGAAGGGAAAGAGGAAGAAATTGACGTGGCATCCTGGGGTCCTCACTCCACTGGTGGTTTGAGGTGCCCTCAACTAACTCAGAGGCCTCGCCGTCCCGGCTCTGGTGACTGCACAGTGAAGTGGTCCGCTGGAGTTTGGTGTGGCCTGGCTCCTCGACCGGAGGCAGCTCGGCTCGTGCCCCACCTGTCTGCGTGTTGTCCTCACGGGCCTGGCCGAAGTGCAACTAGGACTGTCGTTCACTGCAGCGCGAGAGGTTAGCACTCCAGTGGTTCCGGAGTCTGGGCTGTATACTGGCACCCTTCACACTTCCAGCAAGGGTCGTGACCCTATGCCAGCAGACAGGCCTTCAGTCTCCCACGCCCAGACCGCGGCCACTGAAGGAAACATCTACAGAAGACGAATGGACCGAGGACTACGGGCCCTTCTCACGCCCCGAACTCCTGTTACCCCTGCTCCCTAGGAAAACGTCACTGCTGGAACCTTGGGCAAAGCTTGGTCTGGCTCCTCCAGAACTTGAGGTTGGGTTGTTAGGTAGGTGGGAAGGGAAGCGGTCCTAGCGGTTTGCTTTGGGGCCTGGCACATCTGCTTCTTACTCACCTGATGGAGGAGGAGTCCGGGAGGAGCCTGGAACCCAGGGAGCCTTTTTAATAATACAAGTCAGAGTCCAGGGGACCTTGCGGCACACACTGCCGCAGCGCAAGCTAGCATCCTCCAAGGCACCCTGTTCCCTTGGCTTTTGCTTTCCTTTCTAACTACTTTGAACCCACTTTTTCCTGGAGGCAGGCAGGCTGGGCTCAGCAGGCTCAAGACATCCTCTTTTGCCAAAGCTCTTGGCTATCTTACCAAAAAAGCAAGAAGAGCCAATTCACAGCTCCATAGTTACAGGTGTTAACTTCTCCTCCAAGACGACCCCCTAATTAGCGAAAGCGGCCACCACCCGTGGCCAGCAGGGTGAAAGAGTGGTGATTTGATGAAGGTTTCCGACTCGGAAGCCAGGGTTTGCCAACTCTGCCATTTTCTAGTTGGCAATTTTGGTAAGCAAGTTACCCTGCCTCTTTGTGCCTCGGTTTCCCCATCTGTAAAATGTGCAAAAGAGAGATGGTGGGTTTAAAAGAGTCAATATATGCAACATCTTAGGACAGTGCCAGGTGCACAGTAGGTTTTTCTGGAGAGTTCGCAGTCGCTGCATTCGGGCCTTCCCAAGCCCCAGCTGAAGTTTGGAGAGGGGCTCCCTCTCCCTCTCCAAACTGCTGTTTGACCTCCCTCCCCTCGCGCTCAGAGCGCCAGAAAAACTTCTTCCTAATGAAGCAATGTTTGGAGCATCCATTAAAAATGCAACGTCCGGGAGATCAAAGTACAATATTTATTTTAGAAATTTGTTGCAATCACCTTGAGATACAGGTATTGAGGCCAAATGTCAGTTCCGTTACACAAAGCCCCGCGTCGGGGAAGAGCGTGTGGCTGCTCTGCCGTAAAGAGACATCAAAGACCGAGCGCGCTGCAAAAGTGCACAGCCGGGAGGGCCGGGAGCGCCCCAAACGGCGCGGGGGCTTCGAAGGCTGCGGGGGCGGGGGTCAGTTCAAAGAGGTATCCGCTGCGGCCTGAGTTCACAGGAGGGAAGATTTAATGGGCTTTCCTTTGTTGGTGGGTGTATTTGTTCACCAAGGACCCAGGAGCTCCTACTTGTTCCTCCCGCCTGGGGGCGGAGGTGGGGGAGCGGCGAATGGGGAGCAAACTTTCTCCGCGGCGGGGGTCAGGGAGGTGGAATCCCGGTCTCCCTGCAGCGGCCCGCACAATCCGCTTCCAAGCAGCGGGGTTCCGAGGCTGGGAAGTTTGCCTCTCAGCTTCTTCGCAGGCGGGCGGGCCGCCAGAGTCCACCGGGTGCGATCTGCTAGAAGGGGCGGGTGAGGGAACCCGCAGAGGCTCCTGAGCAAGGGGGCGGACCAGGTCTGCACGCTCAGGACCACCCGGAGCACTGCTACTTCTCGCCTAAGTCTGGTACCTGCCTCGGGCATTTTCTTCCAGCATTTGGGCACCCATATCTCTGGCATGAAGCCGTCCAGATATTCACCCTTCAGTAGTTGATTTTTTAAAACCTGGGTATTATTTAGGTCATCTCTAAAAAGTTTTAACTCTTTGGCCTTCTACAGCAGCATTGCTTAACCGGCTGGATCTGGCCAAAAGAAGCTACCAATTGCGTGTATCTGCGTAGTTGCTACAGCAGCAGTCCTTGCTTTATTAAAGGTGCTGGGAGGGAAGGGGGAAGATTTTTCCTGGTGCTAATGGGGCACTGAGCCGCAGGAGGATGCCTGTGCGTTGCTTCAGTCTTCTACAACCGAGCGTTCTCAGAGCAGTCCCTCGGCGGCCTTTTGAAGTCCTGCTACAGCAGAAAGCTGCTATTGTTCTCAGCTCTCAACAAGGAAGGGATCAAACTTTGCCTCTTCAATTTGAAAGTTGTTGTTTTTTTTTTTTTTAGGATGGTGGTGGAGGGGGGAGGGATTGCAATCTGATACTCTCTAAGTTAAGTTGGAGGATTTGTGCAGTCTCCCTGTTTAAGCTGCAGACCAAATCGCAGATGCTCTAGCGCCTTTGTGTGAGATAGATAGGGTCTCTTCATTAATATGGTGGAGGGGTCAGTCACTAGCATTTGTCCTGCTGAGAATCTGGTTTGGTGACCAAGTTTTCCCTTGGAATGTTTCCCTTCCATGGAAATGGAGTTAATTTTAAGCTGAAACTTCAAAATTGGATTAGTATATACTGAGTGTAAAACTAGGAGGGATCCTTTATTTCATCTAATTCTGCTCCTTCATTTGTTGTCAAGAGAACATTTGAGGACATTTACATAATGTTTCAAGCATGCATGGTGTTCTGAACTTCACCAGGCACTCAACTGCTCGCTGGTGTTGGGAGGTAGCAATGCAGCCTGTGCAATGCTTTTGCAGTGCCAGGGGGCGCAAAAATGCAGTAGGAACTCAGAGAAGAGGGTTGATGAGGGCTGGAGAAGGCGAGGGAAGCTTTACTAGCAGGTGGAGTCTGGAGTCTTAAAGATCCATAGAATTTTAGTGTGGTGGCTAGAAAGGAAGGAAGGGAGGGTGGAAGGAACAAAAGAGGAAAGGGAACTCCCATTTCAATGGAAGGCTAAACAATGATGAAGTTTTGGGCCTTTGATTTGCTGGAGTAGACAAGGTGGGGCCATTTGGAAAAGTCAGGGAGAGGAATTTTCCCCCAATGCTGGAAATAGTAGGAGTTTATTATAAGCTCTCAATCAGGTGAATACTGAACAATTCAATTCCATATCTGAATTCTTGTCCCCTAGGAGGACTGGAAGGACAGATGCAGAGGCCGTTATATCCAGGTGTGAGATGGTGAAACTTTGGGAACTGGTAGTAGTGGCTCAGCATTCTAAAGGAGAAAAGAGCAAAATTTGGTGATAGATTGGAACAAGAAAAAAAAGGGAAAACAAAGGACCCCTCTTTTGAACAGATGATGGTGGGACAAGTGGATATCCACCTGTAAAAGAATGGAGTTGAAGCTTGGCTCAGTCCTAGCTACTTGGAAGTCTGAAGCAGGAAAATCACAAGTTCAAGGCCAGCGTGGGCTACATAA